TTTGGATAGCAGCCATCCTGACTGGCGTGTAATGGTACCTCATTGTGGTTTTGATTTGCATTTCTCTGATAATGAGTGATGTTGAGCATCTTTTCATGTGTTTGTTAGCCATCTGTATGTCTTCCTTGGAGAAATGTCTGTTTAGTTCTTTGGCCCATTTTTTGATTGGGTCATTTATTTTTCTGGAATTGAGCTGCAGGAGTTGCTTGTATATTTTTGAGATTAATCCTTTGTTGCTTCGTTTGCTACTATCTTCTCCCATTCTGAAGGCTGTCTTTTCACCTTGCTTATAGTTTCCTTTGTTGTGCAAAAGCTTTTACGTTTAATTAGGTCCCACTTGTTTATTTTTGCTTTTATTTCCAGTTTTCTGCGAGGTGGGTCATAGAGGATCTTGCTTTGATTTATGTTGGAGAGTGTTTTGCCTATGTTCTCCTCTAGGAGTTTTGTAGTTTCTAGTCTTAACATTTAGATCTTTAATCCATTTTGAGTTTATTTTTGGTACACTATTTTTTTAGGCATAATCCTATTGCACATTTAATAGTGTAACTTTTGTATGTGCTGGAAACCAAAATAGTCTTGTGACTTGCTTTATTGCGATAGGTGTTTTACTAGAACTGAACTCAAAATATTTTCAAGTAGGCCTGTTTGGAATTTTTTCTCTTTGGGGCTTTGTCTTTGGGCTCACAGCAGAATTAATGAAAACACAGAATCTGAGTTACAGAAACCACACTTGAAGGTAGTGTTCGGGAACATTCCATAAAACGATGCCCGGTGCTAGCTCCCTTCCTGTGGAGATGTGGGTGCTTTGGGTGAAGATGCAATCTTTGCAGCCCACCTCCGCCTGTAAGCTAGCCAGGCAGCCCGGCCTCACCCTTGGCTTGGCACCACCACTGGCCAGCGCCCTGGTTTCAGTCAGGCCAGGAGTTGCATTCCCCTGTGGGTGGGCCTTCTCTGGGGAGGGGGTCCCAACCTGGGGTGGTGACTGTTTGTGTACCTCCTGGTCCACTTCTTTAACTCTCAGAGGTATCCTGAGGAGGAGGGTAAACTCTATGGTCACACACTCACGGGCTACCTACATCTGACCAACAGTGGAAGCTTGTTATAAATCCTGATTTCCTGCATACAAATGATGCTTCAGTAGAAAATTAACAAAATCTGATTTTAGAGCATTTATGAGATACTTGGGGGAAACCTGACTAGTCCCTCGATAGTTAATGATACTAAGGAATTTCTGGGTTTTTCATTGTCCACACCATGAGGCCTATGGGACCCTAGTTCCCAGACCAGGGATCGAACCCACACCCCCTGCAGTGGAAATACAGAGTCTTAACCCCTGGACCACCAGGGAAGTCCCTGTGAACTTTTTCATAACTACCCAAAGCTGGAAAGAACTCACATCTTCATTGTCTGATAAAGAGATAATGAAAACTACTAGGAAACAGTAGCAAGAATCACTGATACTGACACACACACAAAACTCAAAGAACTACACTGAGCATCTGACCCCATTGATGAGAAATTCTAGAAAAGGCAGAACTGTAGTGATAGAAAGCAGACCTGTGTGCCAGGGGCCAGACCTGGGGGGAAACCAAGTGCAGAGGGGCAGGAAGGCACTTTGTGCTGTGCTGGAAATGTTCCGTCGTAGCTGTGGTCCCTTACACAGGTGTGTGGTGGGAAGGGGGACCCCTCAAGGCTAGGGCCAGAGAATAGGACTCTTGTCTAACACTTGGAAATGAACTGTCCGAGGAGACACACGAGCTGACACAAAGCAAGAGATGTTATTGGGAAGGGGCCCCTGGGCGGAGAGAAGTAGAGTAAGGGAACCCAGGAGGACTGCTCTGCCCGGTGGCTCGCAGTCTTGGGTTTTATGGTGATGGGGTTAGTTTCTGGGGTGTCCTTGGCCAATCAAACCCTCCTGGTGGCACACAGGTTGCTCAGGCAAGATGGCTGCCAGAGAGAAGGATTCTGGGAGGTGGTCAGACATGTGGTGTCTCCTTTTGACCTTTCCTGAGCTCTTCCGGTTGGTGGTGACTTATTAGTTCCCTGTTCCTTAGGAGGCCCTCCTGTAGTAAAATAACTCACACAAGTGATGACTAGGGTTGCCTGGCCAGGGTGGGTGGTTTCAGAGTGTGCCTCCCCTAACATGTGTATACACTTTTCAAAAGTGAACTGTACGTTAAAAGTAGGTGATTTTATGGTACACACATTGTACCTCGTAAAGGTTATTATTATTTTTTAAAAAGCCATAACTACAATGCAATTACCTCACCTTAAGAAAAAAAAGGGGAATTCTCTGGCAGTCCAGTGGTGAGGTTCCACATGCTGTGAGGTGCAGTCAAAAAGAAAAGTGTTCACAATTGCAGATTTCAAAACGTTTCGAACGTAGCTGAGGAAACTTGAGCACTTACTTGCTATTTAGTGCTGTTGAGAGGATCTCCTTTCTGCTTGCTAAATGGGATGCTGCCTGATTCACAAGCTGTTGAGTAAAGCCAATTAGAAAAAGTTATATTAATGAATTTGTATTATGTTTAAGGTGGGTAATTGTTTTGTGGTTCTGTTTTTATTTTTATTCTTTGGCCCTGCGGCATGGCTTGTGGGATCTTAGTTCCCTGACCAGGGATTGAACCTGGGGCCTTGGCAGTGAAATTGCCAAGTCCTAACCATTGAACTGCCAGGGAATTCCTGTGGTCCGGTTTTTAAACCAAGTCTTCATCTCTTGGAGGAAATGCTGAGATATTTACAAATGCCAACCTGTGCCCTCTGAGATTTCTTTCAGTCTTGTTATCAAGTCCAAGCTTGCTCTGCTCATCGCACAACAGGCCAGTGAATTCGAGAGATGAGGTGTTGAGACAAGGAAAACGACTTTATTCCGAAAACTAGCTGACTGAGAAGATGGCAGGCTCAGTCCGCACCTCAAAATAACCATCTTCTTGGGGTCTGGGTGCCAGGCTCTTTTATACATCAGAGAGAAAGAAACAATGAGGAACTAAAGTCAAAAGGCAGAATAGAGAGGGAGAGGCAGCGGGGAAGTAAAGTGAAAGGGTCTTCAGTCTCGCAAAACATCTCCAAGGGAATGGCCAGCCTTAGAAGGGGTGTGTCAGTCTCTTCTGTTCACAGCTTGTTATTGTTCAGTCTTTCAGTTGTGTCAACTCTTTGTGACTCCATGGACTGTAGCAAGCCAGGCCTCCCTGTCCATCACCAACTCCCAAAGCTTGCTCACACTCATGTCCATTGAGTTGATGATGCCATCCAACCATCTCATCCTCTGTTGTCCCTTTCTCCTGCCTTCAGTTGTTGTAGCCACGTGTTCTGGGAAACACACTTACTCAGAAGAACAATGCAGATAGTGGAGTGCAGTTTATTACACTGGCGGGCCCAAGGCAGAGTCTCATCTTAGTCAAGGACCCCAACCAGCATTTGTGAAAATCTTTTATACCCCATGTGTACATGTCCGAACCCACCACCCCAAATTCCTTGAGACTTACATAAGCAAAGGAAGGGTAAATACAATCCCAGTAACCCCATCATTCATGTGCCATGTGCTCAGACAGTTAAACAATTAGCCAATAATCAATAAGCCCAAGGTTACACTCCGATAGGTACAGAAAAATTTATGGCCTTTCTGGAGGAAGGGGTGATTAGTGTATGTGTTCTCTTAGGTGAGGAGTAACCTGGATATGATCTTCAAGGTTCCTCTGTCCGGAGGGGGTCTTATCCTTCTGTTGTCGTTTCCATAGGCACTAAACAGAGTGCAGAGCCCACTGGAGAGGTGGCCGAGCACGATCAGCATGGACAGGCCTAAGGTGGAGTACAGGCCCTATGAATTCCTTCTTCACTATCTTTCCCAGCATCAGGGTCTTTTATAAAGCATTGGCTCTTCACATCAGGTGGCCAAAGTATTGGAGCTTCAGCATCAGTCCTTCTAATGAATATTCCGGATTGATTTCCTTTAGGATAGACTGGTTTGGTCTGGGACAAACTATCTCCAGGAGCTGAACGAAGGCTCTTTAGTTTACAGTCAAGCTGAAGAGCAGGTTCTTCCCAGGCAAGCCATTAAGTATGATTATAATAACAAAAGCAATGGCAAGCAAGTCAGAGAAAGAGATGCCAATGTGGAGTCAAAATAGGCTTCTTACCTGCATCAGTCACACCTGGAAGCAGGAGGGAAGCCAGAGCCAACCATTTGAAGCTGTTTGCTGGGGACCTTGGAACCTTCTCTCTACTGGGGAAAGCCTCTTAATGTTGTCCACATTAAACAATAAGAAGGAGGGACTTTCCTGGTGGCCCAGTGGTTAAGAATTCGCCTGCCAATGCATGGGACACGGATTCTATTCCTGGTCCAGGAAGATCCCACATGCCAAACTAAGACCCGGCACAGCCAAAGAAAAAGAAGTAAAAAGGAGTCACAGCTCCAGACCTATTGCCTCTGTTTCTCGGGAGCTCGGGGTGGGGAGCCTGCGTCTTCCTTGGCTCTCCGCTGGAGCCTCACTTCCTTGGGCGACCGCGAACTTCTGCCCTGCGGTGGTGGCGTCTTGCTCACCTGAGCCGTCTCTGGACCCTTGGGCCAGTTGGTAGTTGCCCAGCCTTCCTGTCCTCCTGCTGTGCGGAGGCCCTTCCAGCGTGGTGGGGGAGGGCTGCTCCTGCCTGCCTGCCTGATTGATGGTCCTGGAGAAGGAACCTTGGTAGGCGTGGTTTACAGCCCCACCCATTTCCTCCAGTCCCACACAATGGCTGTGGTCCTGTGGATACCTTCATCCTTCGTTTGCTCATCAGAGAGCCCAGCTCAGCGACTTCATACTGGGTCACGGATTCTTTGTATCTTGGGCCCTGCAGCCTGTGAGAGCCACGGCCGCTGCCAGCTGCTGGGAGGAGGGGCCATCCCGGGAGTAGGCCCTCCCTCCGGGAGTGCGAAAGTTGCAGCATTCCTGAGCGGTGGGAGGTCCCTTGAAGGCTGAGAGGCGGTGGCTAAACCAGGTGCCAGCTCAGGGTGAACAGTCTGGGCCGCTGTCCACAGGATGAGGCTGCTTATCCGGGCTCTCCGCCTCTGTGAGCTGGGCAGGCAGGCCGCTTCCAGGAGGCCAGTCACTGCCCAGGAGTGTCTGGGGCCCAGGAGCTCCAAGAGGCCCGGGCAGAGATGCTGGGCTTCCGTCCAGGCTGTTGGAACCAGATCTGCTCTGTCGTCTAAACTTGGTGTCAGCGTTACAAGGTAGGATGACAGGGACACTGTGCCCTGATCCATGCTAGGCCTTGGGTGTCCAGCCCAGGCCATGTGACTCAGGATTTCTTGGTAAGGGTTTGGAGTAAACAGTGGGTGTTGGGTGTTGTGAACTGCGTGTTTTGTGGGATTTTGTGTGCATCCCCAGTGGAGACCTGGCATGTTTTTCCTCTGGGACCCCACTCAGCTTTGTTGGAGGAGGTGGGCTTTGAGAGCTTGGGATGAGCACGGAACTCAGAGCACCCTGAGATCGGAGCAGGCTGCTGTGCTGGCAGGTCTCTGCCTGTGCTCAGGCTGCCAAAGGGGGCTGCCAAGGGAGCAGGGGCTGCAGGTGTCTGCTCTCCTCACCCCTGACCTCCCCACATTGAGCTGGGCTTTTTGTTTTTCTTTGTTTTGGACTTGTTGAGGGAGACAGGGGTAGCTGTCCTCATGTGATTGGCTAATCCTCTGGCAATGTAGTGAACTTGGGAGAAACCTCCTCCAGTGGGCGGATTCTGGTCCTTTGTACCAGCTTTATTGAGTTGTAATTCGCATCCCATTGATGCATCATCCATTGAAGTATGCAGTTCAGTGGCTTTTTGAACATCCACAGTTGGGCAGTCATTACCACCACCAATTTAGAACATTTTCGTGACCTCTTTGAGAAAAGCTATTTCTCTCCATTCCCCCTAATCTATTTTCCTTCTCTATAGATCTCCTTGTTCTCGACATTTCATGTCACTGGGGCCAAGTGATATGGTCTTTGTGTCTGGTTTCTTTCACTCAGCACCATGTTTTCAATGTTCATCTGTGTTGTCACACACGTCAGTGCTTCCTTCATAATACTCCACTTAGGGATATGTAACCACGTTGTTTATCCATTCATCAGCTGATGCATATCAGTGTCTCCAGCTGGCCTTTATGCATAAATGTTCCTGTGAACACTCTTGCACATGTTTTTGTGTGGACATACGTTTTTATGCTGGGATTCTTGGCCTCTGGAGGAGAAGAGTTCGATCCGGGGCCAGAGATGGGGCTTGATTGCTCAGAGCTTTTGTGTAATAAAGTTTTATTAAAGTATAAAGGAGATAGAGAAAGCTTCTGACATAGGCATCAGAAGGGGGCAGAAAGAGTACCCCCTTGCTAGTGTTAGCAATGGAGTTATATACTCTCCAATTAGTCATTACAATGAATCAAAAGAATGTCTGGAGGTTGTAAAGACCTCAGCAGACCTACTCCCATAATTTACATTTTAAGATAACAGGATTAGCTAGAAGGTTTTTTCCAGAGACTGTCCTCAAGCAGGATACATTATTGTTATATAATCCTAAGGAATGTAGAGAGAAAAAAAAGTTTGTCCTTTCTTCCTCCTTTAGAATTCCAGACCCCTCTCTCCTTGGGGATCCCTAGACTTCTTATCAACCTGCCTAGGAAATGACTTTCTCAGTAGGGTGGATGGATAGAGCATCTTTTGTATGCCAAGGAGATGACTAGTGCTTGGTGGCCCAGAGAAAGCAGTTTTAGGAAGGGGCTGGTCTTTGGAATGACTTTGGCAGTATTGGAGGGGTGGGACTTTCAGCCCCACTCAAGACCTGGGGGTTGGAAGAGAGGGCTTTGGGGGTTAAGTTAATCACCAGAGAGTATATCAGTTCAATTCAGTCCTGTAGTCATGTCTGACTCTTTGCAACCCTATGGACTGCAGCATGCCTGGCTTCCCTGTCCTTTACCAACTTCCAGAGCTTGCTCAAACTCATGTCCATCGAGTTGGTGATGCCACTCAGCCATCTCATCCTCTGTTGTCCCCTTCTCCTCCTGCCTTCAATCTTTCCCGACATCAGGGTCTTTTCCAGTGAGTCAGTTCTTTTCATCAGGTGGCCAAGTACTGGCCATCAGTCCTTCCAATGACTATTCAGGACTGATTTCCTTTAGGATTGACTGGTTGGCTCTCCTTGCAGTCTGAGGGGCTCTCAAGAATCTTCTCCAACACCACAGTTCAAAAGCATTAACTCTTTGGCACTCAGCTTTCTTTATGGTCGAACTCTCACACCCATATGTGACAACTGGAAAAACCATAGCTTTGACTAGATGGACCTTTGTTGGCAAAGTAATGTCTCTGCTTTTTAATATGCTCTCTTAGGTTTGTCATAGTTCTTTTTCCAAGGAGCAAGCATCTTTTAATTTCATGGCTGCAGTCGCTATCTGCAGTGATTTTGGAGCTCAAGAAAGTAAAGTCTGTCACTCTTTCCATTGTTTCCCCATCTATTTGCCATGAAGTGATGGGACTGGATGCCATGATCTTCATTTTTTGAATGTTATTTTAAGCCAGCTTTTCACTGTACTCTTTCACCTTCATCAAGAGGCTCTTTAATTCCACTTTGCTTTCTGCCATAAGGGTGGTGTCATCTGTGTATTTGAGGTTATTGATATAACTCTTGCAGTCTTGATTCCAGCTTGTGCTTCCTCCAGCCCAGCATTTTGCATTATGTACTCTGCTTATAAGTTAAATAAAGCAGGATGACAATATACAGCCTTGACGTACTGCTTTCCCAATTTTGAACCAGTTCATTGTTCCATGTCTGGTTCTAACTTGTTGCTTCTTGACCTGCATACAGATTTCTTAGGAGGCAAGTCAGGTGGTCTGGTATTCCCATCTCTTGAAGAATTTTCCACAGTTTGTTGGGATCCACACAGTCAAAGGCTTTAGCGTAGTCAGTGAAGCAGAAGTAGATGTTTTTCTGGAACTCTCTTGCTTTTTCTGTGATCCAACTGATGTTGGCAGTTTGATCTCTGGTTCCTCTGCCTTTTCTAAATTCAGCTTGAACATCTGGAAGTTCTCGATTCATGTACTGTTGAAGCCTAACTTGGAGAATTTTGAGCATTAATTTGCCAGCTTGTGAGATGAGTGAAATCGTGGGGGAGTTTGAATATTCTTTTACGTTGCCTTTCTTTAGGATTGGAATGACGACTCACCTTTTCCAGTCCTGTGGCCACTGCTGAGTTTTCCAAATTTGCTGGCATATTGAGTGTAGCACTATCACAGCATCATCTTTTAGGATTTGAAATAGCTCAGCTGGAATTCCATCACTTCCACTAGCTTTGTTTGTAGTGACGCTTCCGAAGGCCCACCTGACTTTGCCTTCCAGGATATCTGGCTCTAGGTGAGTAATCACAGCATTGTGGCTATCTGGGTCATTAAGATCTTTTTGTGCAGTTCTGTGTATTTTTACCACGTCTTCTTAATATCTTCTGCTTCTATTAGGTTGATACTATTTCTGTCCTTTATTGAGAGCATAGTATAGTGTTAATAGCTCAGTCTTGTCCGACTCTTTGTGACCCCATGGACTGTAGCCTGCGAGGCTCCTCTGTCCATGGGATTGTCCCCAGGCAAGAACTGGAGTGGGTTGCCTTTCTCTTCTCCAGGGGATGTTCCTGACCCAGGGATGGAGCCTCAGTCTCTGGCATTGCAGGAAGATTCAATCCTAAAGGAAGTCAACCCTGAATATTCATCGGAAGGACTGATGTTGGAGCTCCAATACTTTGGCTGCCGGATGTGAAGAGGCAAGTCATTGGAAAAGTTCCTGATGCTGGGAAAGATTGAAGGCAAAAGGAGAAGGGGACAGCAGAGGATGAGACGGTTAGATAGCATCACTGACTCAATGGACATGAATGGACTCAATGGACATGAATTTGAGCAAACTCCGGGAGATAGTAGAAGACAGAAGAGCCTGATGTGCTGCAGTCCATGGAGTGGCAAAGAGTTGGATGTGACTTAGCAACTGAGCAACAACAGCAAACATAACCCTGAGTCCTGAGTCTTGTAAGGTGCTCCAGCGAACTCTTCAGCCTGAGGAGGGGTCACGTGCTCTGTAGTGTCCAACTCTGCAACCCCATGGACTATAGCCCACCAAGCTCCTCTTTCCCTGGGATTTTCCAGACAAGAATACTGGAGTGGGTTGCCATTTCCTCCTCCAGGGGATCTTCCTGATCCAGGGATTGAACTCATGTCTCCTGTGTCTCCTGCATTGGCAGGCAGATCCTTTACCACTGAGCCTTTGGGAAAGCCCTAGGAGGGGTCAGGAATGAATCCAATTGTAGTGCACCTGGCTAATGGCCAAGAGTTGGCGAAATGGCTGGTGTGAGGAAAAACCCCACCCAGTTGATGTCAGAGATGGTATGAATGAAAAGAGCTTAGCGGTTCCATTCTTGGGTCCAAGGGTTACTCTGTTTAATCTTTGGAGGTGCTACAGAATGTCTTCCAAAGCAGCTGCCTCCTTCTCACTCTCATGGGGGGCTCCATATCCTCGCCAATACTTGTTATATGCAGCCACCCTGGCAGTTGTGCAGTGGTGGTTCACTGAGGTTTCAGTGGTGATCTCCCTGATGATTAGTGATACTCCCTTGGGCTCAGGGGTAAGGAACCTCTCTGCCATTGCAGGAGACTGGGGTTTGATCCCTGGATTGGAAGATCCCCAGGAGAAGAGAATGGCAACTCACTCCAATATTCTTGCCCAGGAGATCCTATGGACAGAGGTGCCTGGCGGGCTACAGTCCATGGGGTGGCAAAGAGTCAGACATGACTGAGCACTCAAACACGCTTTTTCATGTGCTTATCAGCCATTTGTACATTTGGAGAATTGTCTATTCAGGTCTGTTGCCTATTTTTTCAGTTGGCTTGCGTTTTTATTATTGAGTTGTAGGCGTTCCTCCTGTATTTTTTTTGGCTATGCTGCGTTGTCTAGCAGGATCTTAGTTCCTTTCCTGACCAGGAATTGAACCCGGGCCCTGGGCAGTGAAAACACAGAGTCCTTAACACTGGACTGCAGGGAAGTCCCTCCTTCTGTACCCTAGATACAGATCCCTTCTCAAGTGTATGGGTTGCAGCGGTTTTCTTCCATTCAGTGGGTTGTCTTTTTGCTTTTGATTATTTTTTGATGTTTCTCTTTGTTGTTGCTGTTGCTGCTTGTGCTTCTGTTGCCCTCTCTAAGAGGGCATTGCCAAACCCAAGCCCCAGA